CATGGCAGTGGTGAGTCTGTGTGCATCCCTGGGAAGGGGGAAAACGGGGCTGTAGCCTGTCTGGATCCTTAAAGTTCAGAGATCTGTGATCCATAAACGAAGAGGCCTCATAAAAGCATTTGGGCCAACAGAGATCTACAAGAGCACCAGGAATATATTTGGTCATTTATTCATTTATTAATTCCACAATGGACATTTATTGAAAGCTTACAACCACAGGAATTTCCCCAAAGAAGAGAGACAGACAATCTGACTATTACAATGTAATGTGGAAAGTGTTGGGCCCTCGATGCTATGGGGACCTGTAAGAGAGCTACCGTTATAACTCACAGTGGTGATGGGAAGGGTCTGGGAAGAATTCCAACTTAATTAACTTGAGTTGCTTCAACTAAATGTTGAAGGGCTGGATAAAGAAACAGAAAGGTATTCTAGGTAAAGAGAACTCCTAGGACAGAGGGATCAAGATGAGAAAGATTAAAGTGCCTTGCTAGGGACAAAAGGTAGAGAGATGAGGATGGAGAGGAAAATAGGGGCCAGGTCATGAAGGGCATTGTAATCCATGTCAAGGAGTCTGGAATTCATGCTGAGGTCATTGGAAAACCATTCCATAATTTTAAGGAAGTGAGTGACCCATGATAACTTCAAAAATGAATCATAATAATTAACATTGATTGATTTCTTATTGTGTGCCATGCACTCTTTTGAGACCTGTCATGTACAATGACTCACTTAATCTTTTCTAAACTCCCTTGAGTTAAGGATTATTATTATCATCATTTTGTACATGAGGAAGTTGAGGCCTACTTAATGCAGGAACTTCTCTCAGGGTGGCTCAACTAGTAAATGGTTGAACTACAGTCCAAAACCAGACTGTTGGCTCCAAAGGAGAGCATGTGAGTACCATGGTACTTACCTAATTCCTTGTCCCCAAAGTAGGGCTCCTGGACCAGCAGCGTTAGCATTACCTGAGAACAAATCTTGGGCCTCACCCCGAACTCCTGAATCAAAATCTGAATTTTAACAACATTCACCAGGTGATTTGCATGCACATTAATGATTGAGAAGCCTAACCCACATGAGGGAACTGGACCAGATGTGATGAAGTGGAAGGCAAATACTCCATCTAAAGAGGAATACTGTTCTAGCTCCAGTTGATTTGGGGAATGCCAAAATGTACTGAGCACCCCCACCCCTACTGCAAATTCATTTTTCATGTTTTGACAGTAGGGAAGGGATAAGGATTTTGTTATTATTTTTTTAAACCATTTTGCGGGACATCACTGTGTTGGCCAGCAAAAGATGTTTGCAAGTAGAATTTGGCCTAGCAGCTGCCAGTGTAAAATCTCTGGCTCATATTTTAGAAATTTAGGGGCAGAGAGAAGCTTCTGTTCCCTTGGGTCACTTTTAGTTTTTTGTGTGTGTTTGTTTCTAAGATGACAAATATTTGAAAGCAATGACTAGAGAATAGGTCTAGGAGTAAGGAGCCAAAGAAGCCCCTTCATCTGTGTTTCATCTAGAGTTTTGAGAGCTGCCTGTTCTAGGTGGTGTTTATGTTGGTTTTGGGCCAAATCCATAGCTGGTAGGAAAAAGCAATTATTTTCTTGGTATGTCTGAGACCTTACAGTAACAGTAGAAGACAACTTGTCAAGAATACGGGGGTTCAGGATTTCGACCGTCTGCCATTGTCTTTCCAGAAAGTAATCAAAATATGTGTGGGTTTGGGAACAGCTTTCCACGGGACTCTTGGATTAATCGTATAGTATTATGTCCTTATGAGGTATGCTATAAAAAATAGGTGTTTTCAGTGAGGCTGTACTGTTCTCTGCCAAGAAACCCAAAGTAAGCAGCACAGATTTTCTTTTGCAGACTTGTAGGTAGCAACTAGAAGTTTCAAGTGATAACATATATATAAAGTGTATTTTAGAAATATCACTCCGACGGGAATGTGAAGGATAAACTGGCAAGGGTAAAGACCGAAGATCAATTAGGAGGCTATTTTAATGGCCCAAAAGAGATATGAATGGCATCCACCCATTCACTCAAGTCAAATAACTGGGAGTCACCTTGGACTTTCTCACTCCCAAAACCAATCACTAAGTCCTTTAAATTCTGCTGGATGCCCATCACATCCATTCCTTCCTCTTTTTAATTTTTTTAAATTTTATTTATTTATTAATTTTTATTATTAACATATAATGTAATATTTGTTTCAGGGGTACAGGCCTGTGATTCATCAGTCTTACACAATTCACAGCGCTCACCACAACACATACCCTCCCCAATGTCCATCCTCTTAATTCCACTGCTATTTTCCCTATTCAGGCCTATGTTCTTTTTCACTTAGACTATAGGCAGAAGTGTCTCCAGTCACTATACAATCTGTCTTTCATAGAACTGCCAGAATGGGCTTTCTAAGACAAAATCTGACTTTTTCATTACTCTAAGTAAAAAATTCTTCAGGGGCACCTGGGTGGCTCAGTCAGTTAAGTATCTGACTCTTGACTTCTGTTCTGCTCATGGCCTCAGTCAGGGTTGTGAGATTGAGTCCTGCTTTGCAGGGGCCTCTGCACTCAGCTGGGAGTCTGCTTCTCTCTCTCTCCCTCTGCCCCTTCCCTGACTCATGCGCACATGAGTCTCAAATAAATAAATCTTTAAAAAAAATTCTCAGGGTGTCTGGGTGGCTCAGTCAGTTAAGCATCTGACTTTGGCTCAGGTCATGATCTCGGGGTCCTGGGATCAGCTGGTGGAGTGTGGGGCTCCCTGCTCAGCAAGGAGTCTGTTTCTCCCTCTCCCTCTGCCCCTTTCCCTGCTTGTGCGTGCTCTCTCTCTCTCAAATAAATAAATAAAATCTTGAAAAAAACAAATAAAAATTAAAAAATAAATTTCTCCAGTGGAATATAAGCCCTCCAGTTACTACACTGCAATTTGCTTCTTGCTGTATCTTATACTCATTCATCTTACTCATTATCCACTTAAGCCCCAATATCCAGACATAGGGAAATGTTTGCAAAGCTTTGAATATGTCAGGATGCTTCTTCATGTCTACATTTTTCCATTTCCCTTCCTTTCTCCTACCTTCTCCCCCACTTTCTCCCTTTTCTGCCCCATTTGGAAAAACCTGTTCATCTTGCCTGTCAGCCTTTGCTGAAATCTTCACCCCATTGCCTTCATTATTTCCTGGGAAGAATTTCTTAATCCCCAGCATGTAGCAATAGTGTAATAATAAATATTCTTAATAATTATTTACTGAGTAAATAAAAATATGGGCATGTGCTTTTTCCTTAATTCATTAGTGGAAGAGTTTGGTGGTTGTTTCTTAATCCTACATTATTGTCTAGGAGAGCTTTTTCATTCCCATGGACTTGGATTATCACCTCAACATAAGTAACTTCCAAAGAGGCTTCAATTCTATGTCCCTTATTGCTTCCTAGATATTCCAGTGGGAAAAATAAACCAAAAGCAGAGACAATAATCAGAAGTCTATTACAATAGACTAAGTGAGAGGCAGCGAGAATGGAAATTCAGGAACAAATTTAAGAGACATCTGAGATATAAGTTGCATCCAGGCCAGATGGGGAGACTCTTGCCAGTGTGCTGAAATTACACAATATGTGCTGATGTCTACTTCTCCTGTGATGAAAGCCGACGCCGTGAGTGCTCAGGACTGAGGAAGGGCAGACATTTTCAGAGCACCACTCCTTTTCCCTTCCCTTCTCTTCTCAAAGTTGGATTTATAGATGAGTGTGAAACCAGTGGAGTTGGGAACCAAGAAGGAAAATGCCAGTTTTTCCTTTAAGCCCTAGGTCTCATCTTTGGTCTCAGGATTCCCAGATATGTAAAATCAAGGCTGCCAACTACTTTTAGTAGTTGTATGACATTAGGCCAAAAAATTTCCTTTATGCCCTCTATTCACAATTTATGGTTTTTGGCAGATTGGTGTGCTGGACAGCTGAGCCCCTTTCAATTTACTACCAGATCTGCCCTCTCCTGGATTTCACCTTGAGGACTGTGGCTCCAGGACAAAAATCCTATGTGTGATCTGTCAGGTCTGACCACAGGCAATTACAAGGCTTTGCCTGGCAGGCCTCCTGGGGGAAGCTGCCTTCCCACACCAGACTTGGTGCACAGCCAGTCCATCTGGAGGGAGTTGCAGTCAAGGACTCAGGCCCCTTTTGAGCCAGACATACTCATATGCATATCTGCATTCCCAGCCTAGGCACCTCTATTTGGAGGCCTCTTTCCGGGGGTTGGGGGAGGGTTTTGTTGAGACACTTTTCAAGTACCTCCATTAAGACCTTGGCCAAGGCAGTTTTCTCCACTTGGACTCAGTACCTTTTCACACCAAGCCCTTTCCCCGCTTCCTTCCTGTGGCCCCACAAGTCCATAAAAAAGCAGAAGCTTTTTGTTTAGGGTTCCTTGGCAGTGAGATGATCTCCCCATCTGTGCTCCCATTTGATACCTGCCTAGTGCCATTCCATGGGGGGAAATGGAACGCTAGTGAGCTAGTGCCTTTCTCTTTTCCCTCTTGCCCGCACTGTTGCAGTAAATAAAAAGGTTTGCTTGTTATTTTCATTTTGGCCTGTTATCCTAATTGACCACCTCAACACCTGGCTGCTTGGCCCACATCTGTTTGGGTTCCCTCCCTGTCTTCTAAATAAGTATAAGAACATTCCATCCCAAACTCCTTCTACTAAGGGGCTCTGGGCTCTTGAAACAAGAGCTATTTATTCTACATGCTATAGATTCTATTTTTTTTTCTTTTCATTCTAGCAAGATTCAAATACATTGAGAAAAGGAGAATGGATAATTCAGATGCACATTAGACAACATTAGATAGAATATTGAAACCTCTAAAACAAAACCAGTATTTTTGCTTGGCCTATAGAATAATGTGACTAATTTTGGCCAGATGGAGCATGATTATGAATTAGCTACATGTAGACTAGATTTGAGACACTATACAATGACCCGCTACATTGCTTTAAATTACACAGATAAGGCTCTTTGCCCACGGTAGTTTAATTATTCTTGGAAGACATTACACTTCTTTATTCAGGAAGCCTAATGAATTTATAATTACCTTTTCCTCTGAAGTCCACAAATGATGATTCCCCATCTGGACTGGTAAAGAAGAAGCCACAGTGGGAAACATTACTGATGTGTGAAAAACTCAGGACAGCATTCCTTTGCTGACCATTTCCATTTTTGCACATATCCAATAGTTGATTGAAGTCAACTAGGCCTGGGGGAGGAGAAGAGCAAATTTCTCTTACCCCTTCAAGGCCCATATCTTTATTACTTTCATAGTTCCTGCCTTAAATTAGTCCAGCATCACCTCTTGTCTGGATTGTTAGGAACTATTGCTTAGTATTCATCCAATTCACCCTCCACATTGACATCTGAGTTCCCATTATCAAATACAAGCCTCCATTGACCAGCCAATGCCTTCAGGTTCAAATCAAAACTCCTAAGCAAACAAACAAACAAACAAAAAACAAAACAAAAAAACCAACTCCTAAGCAAATAAGATCTGGAACAAAGGGAGCCCAAGTGCCTCTTTCAGTCTCATTTTCCAGCATCATCACATAGCATGCTCAAGGCATAATAGCCCCGCTCTCTTTGAACAAAATCCCTTCCGCTTCTGTGTCTTTGCACCAGTGATTCCCCTGGCTAGAGCAAAGTGTCCATTCTCATTCCTCTTCTAGGAGCCATCATACTCATCTTTTGATAATAGTTCAAATTTTGGTTGTTATGTTCAGTACATTAAAGGCAGAAGAGCAAAATGGGAGAGAGTAAAAGCACCTGGAGCTTGGGCTCCGCCACTCATCACTGTGAGTTAGAGTGACTTGTTTGCTTTCCCAAAGCTTCTGTTCTCTCATAAGTAAGTTGGCAACCTTTCCTCCCAGTTTTACTGAAGTATGATTGACAAATAAAAACAATATATATTTATATTGTAAAATGTAATGATTTAATACATATATACATTGTGAAATGTTTACACAATCAAGTTAACACACCTATTGCCTCAGTTACCTTTGTGTGTGTGTGTGTTTGTGTAGTGAAGACATTTAAGATCTACTCTCTCAGCAAATTCCAAGTATACAATACAATATTATTAACTATAAACCATCATGCTATGCATTAGATCCCCAGAACTTATTCATCTTTTTTTTTTAAGATTTTATTTATGTATTTATTTGAGAGAGAGAGGGGGAGAGAAACAGCATGAGAGGGGATAGGGTCAGAGGGAGAAGCAGGCTCCCCGCTGAGCCGGGAGCCCGATGTGGGACTTGATCCCAGGACTCCAGGATCACGACCTGAGCCGAAGGCAGTTGCTTAACCAACTGAGCCACCCAGGCGCCCAGAACTTATTCATCTTACAACTGAAAGTTTATACCCTTTGACCAACATCTCCCCATTTCCCTCAGCTCCTGGAGGCCACCATTCTACCCTCTGGTTCTGTGAGTTGGAGATTTAATAGTTACTATGCATGAGGTTGTTGGGAGGGCCCAATTGCAGCAACCTTTTGAAAGTGCTTAGCATTGTGCCTGACGTATTATAAGTACTTCATATGTAAATGTTAACTATTATTTCTATTTTTGCTGACATCTTCTCCAATTCAATTGTATTTTAACTTTGTTATGTTTCAGCTTAACTAGCTTTTATGCCTAGAATTATATTAGTTTGGGTGAATTGAATGACCAAGGTAATAGTCATTACCAATTCTAGTTTATTCCTTAACATTTATCATAGCTGTATCTTATGGAGTATGGTTGAACAAATTGTATGGAACTGTCATGTGATAGTGATATTGCAAATTTAATTCTATCAAGAACTATTAAGCCATGGGCGCCTGGGTGGCTCAGTTGGTTAAGCGACTGCCTTCAGCTCAGGTCATGATCCTGGAGTCCCTGGATCGAGTCCCGCATCGGGCTCCCTGCTCGGCAGGGAGTCTGCTTCTCCCTCTGACCCTCCCCCCTCTCATGTGCTCTCTCTCATTCTCTCTCTCTCAAATAAATAAATAAAATCTTTAAAAAAAAAAAAAGAACTATTAAGCCAGGATCAAGTTTTTGTATTTTGGGGATTCTTAGAGTCCATTCAGGTATTTTTAATACTTTGCATTGATAATAAGCAACATTAACATAATCAAATAATTTAAAGACCCTACCTTCGTAAGATCTTTCTACCTATGTTCCCTATACTTGTATAAAGAAAGGTATTTTTATTGAATTTATACACACAAGTGTGATTTTTAATACCATTTTGGACTTATTCATTCTAATTTCAAATTTGACTTATTTCAATTTTAGCTACACATCAATGTCAAACTTATTTCCACTTTATATCAAAATGCCACGGATCTCACTGTGATTTCTAATCTAGCTTTTGAGATCTGACCAACTCGTATATGTAAATACAGTTTTCTGGCAAGAGGGGGCATAGAATTTGCAGTAAAAATTAATTGTGAGTGACTTGTTTCATCTTGAGTGTATACATGTATACAACTATGTCAAATCACAAATTTAAACATGTTAAGAATAGAAACCCTCCCCCATTATTTCACAGCTCCACAAGAGCTTTGCAGTTGACTTTTCTTCTACAAACCTATAATAACTTGTATTACTTCACTTTTCACTTTGTATTACAATATTGGTTCACAGGGCCATTCTGTGCCCATCCACAACTGACAAGTGAATGAATAAATAAAAATGAATAGATGAATGAATACTGAAAAGACAAATCATTTCTTTGAGTGATCTGTCCACGAATCAGACAGATATTCTCAGGTTAGTGTATGGCATATTAAAATGCAAAGTCCTGACAAACCGTTGCACCTGGCCACCTGCCCCATATCCTCCACCTAGCTGAATATGACAAATATCGGGAAACTATGGAAGGTGCAGGGCCATGGCTGGCCTAAGATCCCAACTTAAACAGGAGTAGCTGCTCTGGTACAACGACCTCAGCCACCACGGGCTCATTGAAGATCCTGCCTTGATTCGTTAGACCCACACAAAATCAACAAGTATCTACCCCAATTTCAGACCCACTCCCAAGACCTCATTCTTAGGAGTTCAGTTTGGAATTTTGCCCCTCTTCTTCTAGTATTTTGTTTTCAAAACTGACAGAGGTAGGAAAGAAAAACTTATTCAGGAAAGAAAATTGGATCAACTATCTAACACCTCATATTAAGCCTGGTAATGATGACTATATGTATCACTGTCTAAATAAATCTTATATTAATCATTAAAAAATAACAAAATAAAATAAAATACAAAGCCCTGAAGGTTAGCACATGTACAATGTGGTTTTACATTTTACATGGGTATACTGTATGTCCAAATGGTATATACTCTTCAAGTGCATGTAATTTAGGAATAACTCATGTCATGAATTGGTGACACAAGATAAGACACTGTATTACAAAGTCTGTCATTTCAAACATTTTTTCCGTTTTTAAAGCCAATTTTTAAAATCTTTTAATCTGGGTCTGTGAAATGACATGGAATCTTAGACTTGAGCACCCAGGAAAGTGAAGAATTATCTCACATTATATGTCGGGTTACCTAAATCCATACTCACAAGGACAGAGATCTGTGAAGGAAAGGGTCACTTTATCTGGCAGGAAATGGAAAATGAGCCCAGAAATTTCCTTCCTACCAATGAATGTTTGGTAAGGGTTATAACATAAATATACTCCATACGTGGTCCTAAGAAAATAAAATTACTTTTTTATGTCCACACATTTTAGATCTAGAAATAAAATGTAAACTGCAGGAAAACTCAGCAGGAGATAATTATTGGAGAATACAAAGAGCATAATTATTGGGAAGGCAAGCCTGGTATCAGAGTTACCAGGCAACCAATTCCAAGAGAAAGTAACATGAAAGTGGATTGGGAGATAACGTCATCCAATCATCTAAATGCCTGGGCAATTAGGTGTTTGAAGAGAAGTGGAAATGAATGTGTTACCATTTCATGGGGACTTAAGAAAATTTCCTAACAAGGCAGCAGAGAGAAAATGAAGAGAAGGGGACTATTTGCCAATATAGGTATTATTAACCATTCCCTGCCTTCTCCCTACTCACCTGTTCTCCTCCACTAAAATCACATTAGTCCCTAATTGTCAAAATCTGCAGAGCAATAAACTTAAAAATACTCTCCCCTTCATTCTAATCTTGCTTACATATGAGTAGGTCTTTCCAGGTGTGTGTGTGTGCATGTGTATGCATACACATTTGCTCTCCTGAATATTGAGCTTAGGGTGTGAGGGAAGAGAGAAAATAGCATTCAAAACTTCTAGGTGGAACCACTTCCAAGGACTCAAAGACATAAACATCCTGTGCAGTTCCAGAATCTATGAGAAGCTCAGTGTTGTAGGGGTTCAGTGTATGGGGTGGTGGTTTGGAGTTGAGAGATAAAGCTGAAAAGCAAGCTGGGGTGCACTTATGTCCTGTGGGCAGAAAAGAGGGAGTCAGTAGAGATTTTAGAACAAGAAAGCACTTTTAAAAGTAAAGTTCCCCTAGCAACAATGTTCAGACAAGACAGATTGGGTGTTGGGATTAGAAAAGCAGCAGTGGCAATGCCAAGCAGGAGCCTCATACAGGACAGGAGCCTGAGGAGAATGGACAGGACTTGATGTACACTGGATGCAGGCAGTAAGGAAGAGGGGTGGCAAGTCTTCCTAGCTAAGAGCAAGAATACAGGCAAGAGTGAAAATCTTGCAATCCGGGACATAAAACAGCCAGTTGGAGCTGTCCAGTTGGTGGTTGCAAATATGTTTCTGGAACTCAGGAGAAAGGTCCGGATTAGGTCTGGATTAGGCTACTTGTCATCCATGATGATACAGATAGAATCTGAAGACACAGTATGAATTGGATCGTCTAGAGAGGGGAGTAAAAAACAAAAAGATAGAAAAGATGAGGCATGGAACTAAGGATTAGAGAATTTGTGGGTAGAACAAAGGAAGAGAAGCCAATGTAAGAGATAGAAAAGGAATGGTCTGAGAAGCAGCAAGATACTAGAAGCAGGTAGTGCCATGGAGACCAGGAAAGACAATTTTGAGAAGCTGGGGTATCTCATGCGTTCAGATTCTGTATCCAACACTTAAAGGATACATATCCTTTTTTTTTTTTGGACTTTATTTATTTATTTGTCAGAGAGAGCGAGCGAGAGAGAGCACATGCAGGGGGAACGGCAGGCAGAGGGAGAAGTAGGCTCCCCACTAAGCAGGGAGCCTGATGCGGGACACCATCCCAGGAACCTGGGATCATGACCTAAGACGAAGGCAGACGCTTAACGGACTGAACCACCCAGGTGTCCCAGATACATATCCTTCTTAAGCACACATGATTCATATAAGGCATAAAGCAAATCTAAACAAATATTAAAGAATAGGTGTTATGTAGAACACGTTCTCTGAGAACAATGCAATTAAGTTAGAAGTTAATAACAAGATGATAGGTTAAAAATTCTAAATATTTGGAAGTTAAAAACACACTTATAAGTAAACTGATATGTCAAAGAAGAAACTGAATTAGGACTTAATGAAAGCTTAGAGCAAATGATAATGAAACACTATACATCAAATCTTGAGGTATACAATGAAAATGTTTCTCCAAGGAAAATTTATAGCCTTGCATGCTTATTTAAGAAATGGATAGAGGCTGAAAATTAATGAGCTAAATGTTTATCTCAATAAATTAGGAAAAGATTGACAGAATAAAACCAAAGAAAATAAAAGGAAAGAATAAAAATATAAGCAGAAATAAGTGAAATACAAAAAGACACCATAGAGCAACTCAATAAACCTAAAAGTTTTTCTTTAAAAAAATATAAATTAGATAAACCTTTGTGACATTAATCATGAAAAAAGAAAAAAATAACTGGTTAGAAATGGGGACATATGTGCTGGAATAGCCCAGATAAAAAAGACAATATGAGAACACTATGAACAATTTTATTACTAATAAGATCTAGGAATTACTATTTTCTTCTTCCCTGTAATATTGTTTAGGAAGCCATCTAATCCTCTATTTGAAGGATCCTAAGAATAAAGCAAGATCTACCAGCAGATTTCCAAGCTATTGCCACAACCACCCCCTCCCAAAATTTGCTCGGATTGTCACTTGAGATTTAGCAATTTGTGGGGCGCCTGGGTGGCTCAGTTGGTTAAGCGACTGCCTTCGGCTCAGGTCATGATCCTGGAGTCCCTGGATTGAGTCCCGCATCGGGCTCCCTGCTCGGCAGGGAGTCTGCTTCTCCCTCTGACCCTCCTCCCTCTCGTGCTCTCTGTCTCTCATTCTCTCTCTCTCAAATAAATAAATAAAATCTTTAAAAAAAAAAAAAGAGAGATTTAGCAATTTGACTTTCAGCATCACTGTTGGGGCCCTCCTTGTCATACCAGTCATCAGTCAAGGATCTTCCTTGGGATATTTCCTTTGCTTCACTCCAGAATTAGCCAGACGTCTCAGGGGCATACTCAACCCGAAGGGTGTGCAGACTGTTAGCTGTCTTTGAATGCCATACTGGAATATGATCAATTTAGTCTACCTTTGCTATTGCTTTTTGATGCCTCATAGAGTGTTACGAGGTTTAGTGCTACACAATCTCATGGATACATGGCCACTGTCCCAAAATGAGAATACAAATCTAAGGAGAGGTTCTTGGAAGGATTCTGTTTCTTTCTTTTCTTTTCTCTTCTTTTCTTTATTTTTTTAAAAGATTTTATTTGTCAGAGAGAAAGAGAACACACAGTGGGGAGTGTTAGGCAGAGGGAGAAGCAGGCTCCCCACTGAGCAAGGAGCCCAAAGCAGGGACTCTACCCCGGGAGTCTGGGAATGACCTGAGCCAAAGGCAGTCCCTTAAAAAGCTGAGCCACCCAGGCATCCCAAGGATTCTATTTCTTCTGTGTTAAGCTTATCTGTGCTCTATGTTTGGGATTCTAGGATTGAATTCTTAGTAATCAGATTTTTTTGAATTGCTGCCTTCAGAGGTACTAACCCAGGTCAAGTTTTGGTCTTTGCCATGAAGGGTGGTGTAGATTTTCTTACAACCCTTTAACTACAAAATATTTGGTACCGTATCTCTCCCTAGACCATCAGGGCCACTCTCAGAGGTTCCAGGGTAACTTTTCAATACCCCCTAAGGAATTCTGAGATAATTTCCTGTCCTGGTCTATATTATGAAGTAGCTGGCTTTTCCCCCACTAAATAAGAGAGAGAGAGAGAAAAAAAACCTCTCACATTTAATACTTGCTAGAACGCTTTTCTGGTAAGATACCATACAAAATATTATCATGTGTTTATCTTTTTATTCTGTGGATTTCCTGAACATTAGCATAAATGAAGTAGTTGGTCTACATTGTTCTAAGATCGAGAGAGATTTTAAGGAGTTTTCTTGTCACTTCTCCTAAATCCAATTCCATTTCACAATGCCCAGGAACTTGTGGGGCACAATATCAGGAGTAAGGCAGCTATCATGCCCAGTCCCAAGAGATGAACCAAATCATGTCATCCTACCCCCTCTCTGTCCAAAGGCTGTCTCTTCACCCAGATGGAACAGCCCCAACATTGTTGTAGAGATATGTGTGTAGAACAATACTGCAGCACAGAGCTTCTTCCCTCCCCTTTAAGCTTCTAAGAGACTCCTGAGGAGCCAGGAAAAAACTGGAAGATAGGGATGTTGCTAAACATCCTACAAGGCACCGGACAGCTCTCCATACATCCAGCAAAGAATTATCTGGCCCAAAATGTCAACAGTGCAAAGGCTGAGAAACCCTAGTGTACAGAATGTCTTGCAGAGACTTCATGTACAACATTGATATGGACATGTTAAAAAATAAATCATTATCCCTTTTTTCACCTACTCACTTGTTACTTATCATTCCTAATCTGATTAATGGCATCTAGTCTTATAAATCATTATCTTGGAAATCATTTTTCTCTTCTCTCTCTCTCCCTCATCATGCTCATCTGTTAGTCACTAATTCCCTTCCTACTCTATCTCCTAAATATCTGTAATCCTTTCTCTTCCCTCAGCTACCACTGCCTTTGTGTGAGTATAGACATCATTTAGTTTGCAACTATCTCCTAAATGGACTCTCTGCTTTGAGTCTTATAAATGCCTCCAACTCATACTCCTTGAGTATTCTAAAATGGAAACCCATTTGCATTTCTCCCACTGTCTACAAGATAAAGGCTGAGCTCTCAGGTCTGGCTTACCATGATTATCATGTGTTTTATTATCTGCAGATCCATGTTCTGGTGTTCTTTTTCCCAATCTCCTCTCCTAATAAAAATTGAAGAAAACAAAACCAACAAAACAAAAAGCTTAATGTCTCACACTTCTGTTTGTTGGACATGATGTCCCCCTTTTTTGGAATGCCCTCTCCACCAAGCCCCCCACCAGTCCCTCTTGAAAATTGCCTTCTGGAAAAAAGATCAGTCCTTTTAAAACTCGGCTCTGTGCATGTGCATACTTCTGTTGGGACACATACCACCCACCTCAGGTATAAAATCCCAGTTAAAAATTGAAATGTGGGGCGCCTGGGTGGCTCAGTCGTTAAGTGTCTGCCTTCAGCTCAGGTCATGATCCCGGGGTCCTGGCATCTAGCCCCCCATCGGGCACCCTGCTCAGCGGGAGGCCTGCTTCTCCCTCTCCCACTCACCCTGCTTGTGTTCCCTTTCTTGCTGTGTCTCTATCAAATAAATAAAATCTTTAAAAAATTTGAAATGTGACAAAGCAACACAGTATATTTTTATTCCACTTAGATTTTTAAAACTTGAATTCCCAGTAGATGAGGTGAAAAATCACAGTAAATTCATGGACCTCCCCCTTTGCTCCTGGGTTGTGGTTAAATTCTGGGGGAACCCTCATAATATCTAAGTTTTGTAGAAGATGTAGGCACCCACACCTCATCCTTGTACACAGGGCTCCTTCAGATTTGGAGGTTCTCTTCTCGGTATCAGTATCTTGCTTGGTAGATACCCTCATCATTTTGCTTTTATGGGGCCACACTGGAGCTTGAGAATCTTTCTGAGGCTTTCTATGGCTTCCCCATACCACAGAATTACTCCCTCTGCGGGCTTGCTTCCTACCGCACATTACCTGGAATGCAGACACTAAATCTTTAATCAGGGACCCAGAGGTATTCCCTTTCTTTTAATCTTATTAATATCTTACTTCAGAAACATTTCCTGTCTTGTGAAATTTTTGTCTCAGAGGCATCTAACACTTTCTTTAATGGGTTTAGACTTTTAATGGGTTTAGTCACTTAAAAGCTAATGGCTCTCAAATTGTTTCTGCTTAGTTCTGTAGCGTCCCATACTTGAGGCAGGATGAAAAACAGAACAGAGTAGCTCCTAAATCTAACAGCCCTTTGGATACACCTGAGGGAGCTTTTAAAATTGAAGATGCTCCCCCGCAACTCTGCGTAATCAGAATGCTTTTTTTTTTTAACGATCGCAAAAGATCAAGGTCCAATTTTCGAATCTCTCAGTGATGGGAGGGGGGCAGGACTCCGCTCAGTCTCTTTTTCCTCAAAGTCTCCAAATGTTCTTTTACCCGTAGTGCTTACTCCCTGCCTCTTTCCCTCCACCGCCCTGCCCAGCTCCCTCCTTCCCGCCCTGCCCCCTCCCACCTCGCAGCCTCTACCTTCACCTCTTTGCTTCCCGTTCACCTTCCAGCCCCGCCCCGCCCCTCTCTTTCCCAGCCCCGCCTCCCAGCCCCGCCCCGCTTCTCTCCGCTCCCTCCTCCACCCGGCCCCGCCCCCTCCTCCACGCCCCGCTCCTCCCCACCTCCTCTTCTCAGGCCTCTCCCCAGGCGGCGCAGTCTCCTCCCCTCCTTACGTTCCTGACCGGCCCTGCCGTCCGCAGCGGGCCACTTCCGTCGTAGGAGTTGTTACGTTTACGGCACGCCGGAAGGAGAACCTGTGAGCGCTTTTGGAATTATGGCGGCGGTTGATATCCGAGGTAATTTGCGCTATTACCCTTTGTTTCCTGATTGGCTGGGGCCTGGTTTGGGGTTTATAGCTCGCGGAGGCAAGATTCAGGTTCTTTTGTGATGACTCCCAAGCGTTTATGAATGGTTTCTGTGGACACCCCAAGGCTCCCTAATCTGGCGAAAAATCGTTTTCCCCGGCTCCTTAGGGGTCTCTTAAAAGCTTCAAAACGAAGAGTTTGGAAGAAGCTCTGGGCTTCGAGCCCTCAGACCTGCAGTATTGTTGCAGACACACGCATCTCTACAGCAAGACTGGGGCTGTTCTATCCGGGTGAAGGGACGACCTTTGGGCAGAGAGGGGGTGGGATGACGTGATTTGGTTCTTCTCATGGGACTGCGCGTGGGAGCTGCCATATTCCTGACCCTGCGCCCCGCGCGTCCTTGGGCATGAATCCCTAAGATTTTCTTCTGTAAGTTTTATTTTTGAGTCTGATACCTTCCATCGAACACCCAACAATTACTGAGGGCAGGGATCGGTCCTTTTTCACAGCTGAATTGTAAAGGTACTCAGGTATTTGTTGAATCAGTGGCACAATTTTTAGCTACTTGATCTCAGTACCAGTTAGGCCATACATTCTCTTTTCAGCACACGTACACACATCTTTTTCAGTGAAATTGAAAAAAAAAAAAAAGCCTAGGAATTGTGCTCTGGGATGCCAAAGGGTGAACGAAGGGCGGTTAAAATACAGCTTGAAGCGTGAGAACTTAGTTCCAAACTGTCCAGGTTCCTCCAGGTTGGAAGTAACCATTTATGAGAGTGAGAAAAATTTATGAGACTGAGAGAACGCCCATGAATATATTTTTTTACTGTTGTGGTGATGGCTCCCACAAAACTTGCACTTGTACAAAACTCTCAACCGGTATGTATTTCCATTTGAAACTTTGTATACTTTTCCTTAAAGGAAGTGTGAATTTTTGTACCTAGATGCAAGACCTCTCACCCCCAGCAGTTTAAAGAAAAAGGGCTTTCCTCAAAAGATGTCTAACTATAATAGTTCCTAATCGTTTTTACCTAGGGTTATTTTTGTTTGTTTATACCTCATTATTAAAGGGAAGGGTTTTGAGATGCCCCCCCCTTTTTTTTTAAGATTTTATTTATCTGAGAGAGAGATTGAGAGAATGAGTGGAAGGAGGGGCAGAGGGAGAAACAGACGCCCCGCTGAGCAGGGAGCTCGATGAGGGGCTCTATCCCAGGATTCTGGGATCATGACCTGAGCTGAAGGCAGACTCTGAACGACTGAGCCACCCAGGCGCCCCTGAGATGCCTTTTTCTGTATTAACTAAATTGGAGTCTTGCGCACTTAATAGAAACATGTTCTCATTTATATTTACTCAGAATGTCCAGTGATCTTCAGCATTTTTGTACAGTGTTTTTATATGTTTGTTTTTCAGTGTGAGAGTTTCAAGTGCCTAATTTCATTACTTGCTGGTAGAAAGCTGTACTTAGGCTATGTCAACATGTTCCCTTGCTCCTGAATAAAAAAATATTTAGTCCATCTGAGTGTTTTCAGATATTTACCTTTTACAATGTTTTACTTAGATTTGTTACAGTCATTGCAAAGGCTTTAAGGTGGGGCTGTGTCTGGTGCGTTAGAAGAAAAGGTCAGTGTGGCTGAAGCAGAGTGAGAGAGGAGTTGGGAAGGAGATGAGGTCAGAGAGATAATTGGTGACTTGATCATATAGGAATTGCAAAGCCATGGTGTAAGGTCTTTGGCTTTTCCACTGAGTAAAATGGAGAGCCACTGGAGGGTTTTGACCAAAAGGGATGAACATAATCTGACTTACTGTTTTTAAGGATCACTTGGCTGCTAAGAACAGTGTCGGAGGGTAAGGGTGGGATTAGGGAGACCAGTTAGAGGTCATTCCTGTAATGCAAGGAAATTTGGAGGTAGCTGGGACTAGGGTGGTAACGGTGGAGGTGGTAAGAAGTGGTTGGATTCTGCTTGACTTAGTAGTATATTTTCTTAATGGGGCCGTGATCAGGTAGTCCCCAAATGGGACAGATAATAATTTATTTCTCAGCCATATACCACCCTCGTAATCTCAGTTAACCATTTGGTAACTGAACGTCCTTGGATTCTGGAGTATGTGTAAATCTGTGTCCGGTAGAGTAACTTGTCCTTGGCCCTCAATCATAAATTAATATACATTTGGTGACTATTTTAAATCTGGTCCTGTGCAAGTTCCTATTGAGTAAGACACAGCCCCAGTTGTCTAAAAAGTCAAATTTAATGGGAACACATTTGTATTTCTGGGTTAAAATATGATGAGTATTAATAAAAGTATAAAAAATGCTGTGAGACCATAGAGAAAGAAGCCATTATTTCTGTCTTGCAAAGTAGAGAAAGACTTTGTAGAGATACTGACATTTTTTTTTTTAAAGATTTATTTATTTATTTATTTGACAGAGAGAGACACAGTGAGAGAGGGAACACAAGCAGAGGAAGTGAGAGAGGGAGAAGCAGGCTTCCCGCGGAGCAGGGAGCCCGATGTGGGGCTCGATCCCAGGACTCCGGGATCACGACCTGAGCCGAAGGCAGACGCTTAACGACTGAGCCACCCAGGCGCCCCAAGATACTGACATTTGAAAGGAGTTCAACTTAGCATGACTAAATTATCTGCTAAACTCACACCTTTTTGAGAATGAAAGAGATCTCTATTTTTTTAAAAAGGCATAAACTGGAGGTGGGGGGAGAAGAAACTAGAACAGCCTTGATTAAGCCAGAAATAAAGTTGGTCATTGTAATTTTAAAATAAATTGATTACTGGCACTGCCACCAACATTTTCATCATTAACATTTCCTGGGTTATTCCAATGTGCTAAAAGCATTTCACGTATACAGTCTAGCACATAGATACTATATAGTAGCTATATAGTACCAACCTTCTTGAGGTATTGTGTGGTAAAGTGGTTAAAATAGTGCCTGGCACGGTGTTCAGAAGTGGTGAATAATATCTTTTGTGTTTGTATTAGTCTCAGGCCATACTTGCTTGATTTTTCATCTTTGATTAGTTTAGAAAATGGGGAAAATATGACATGACTACTGATCAGAATACAGTTTGGTGAAGAAAATTATAGGGAAATTGCGCCAAACAGTCACTTGGAGCAGAAGACATTTACGATTCCTTCTAAATTCCGAAGAGTCTGATTCCATATTTAAACTCAGTATATCCAGAGACACCTGGGTGGCTCAGTTGGTTAAGCGTCTGCCTTTGGTTCAGGTCATGATCCCAGGTGGGATCGAGTCCTGCATCCGGCTCCCTGCTCAGCGGGAAGCCTGCTTCTCCCTCTGCCTGCTGCTCCCTGCCCCCACCCCCCGCCGGCTTGTATTCTCTCTTGCTCTCTGGCAAATAAATAAATTTCTAAAAATCGTTAAAAAAAAAAAATAAACTCAATATATCCAAGCCAAAATCATTATCATTTCTTTACTAAATGAGTTATTGGTTCCTAAGTACTCTGACTTTATAATTGATCATTCAGGAAATTATCTGTTTTCTCCCTAAAAATGTCAATTTCGTCCTTATCTTCCTGTGCATTGCCATTGCCTTCCACCAGGTCCTCATTACCTCATGCCCATAACTGTTGACTCTCCATAATTGTTGGTAGGTAGAATCTATAATTACATATTTATTTGTTTCTGCAGCTTATTCTTCTACCTATGCTGAAATGATCTGTAATATTGTAACAGTTTATTATCAGTAATTTATGACACCATATAGACATAGTTACCATTATGTAAGAAACAAACCTATAATTGTCAAATGCTTTTATTCATTTATTTGACAGAGAGAGCGAGCACAAGCAGGGGGAGTGGCAGAGGACAGAGGGAGAAGCAGGCTCCTTGTGGAGCAGGGAGCCCTATGCGGGACTCGATCCCAGGACCCCAGGATCATGACCTGAGCCGAAGGCAGACGCTTAACCGAGTGAAACACGCAGGCACCCCACAAATGCTTTTATATAATTATTCCTAAGGAAATTTAAAAAATGTGTAGGAAAGTTGCTTTGAAGAAAACTACTTTAATAACTGGACTCTAGTGTTTAAAGCTGAGAGTAATGATTATCCTTAGTTGCTTTTCATTAAAAAAAATTTGTCTTTTTCTGAAAACATAATTTCCTGGCATGTTAGATATTTGGTTATGGCATGATGTATTTATGATGAACCATCTTAATGGTCTGTATTCATTATTTGATCATTCACATACGTCATCTGTTTTTTTTCCTTTATTTTACAACATACACAGCACATTTTACCTTTATAAAATTACTTTTTCTCATTTGATTAATTTCCGTTAAAACTGCTTGTTGCCTTGGAGTAGGTCTGACTTCTTCAAAGGTGCCAGAAGCAATTACAGTTTAGGAGAGGTTGAAATTTTCAGTTCTTCCTTTTTCAACTAGTATTAATAGGCATTTTGATATTCATAACTTACAGTTAATGGGATTTAGTACTGTCAGTGTTATGGAACATTACTGCTGTCAGTAGCCAACAAAAGCTCATTAATAAAGCTATCTAGTTCTATTTACCATGTCTTTTTTTTTCTTTTTGCATTTTGAAATATTAAAGAGTTAATTCTATTCCAAAATGTGAGATTGTGTGGCTGTAATTAAGGGCATTCTACTTCTCACCTGCTTCATAACTTTTGCATCATTATCTCCTCTATATAATAGCTTCCTAACTTATTTCTGTCCGTAATTGGGAGGTCTCAAACTGGCGGATGTGAATGTGTTTTCTTTGGGATGCATTTCCCACCTCCTCCTCACCCTGTGAAAAATCATTCCTGATCCCTCAGGTAAGGTATTCTCCTTCCACTGTGCTCTGGTAACACATTTATTCATACCTTTGTTATAACACTTATCATGTCATCTTGTCATTGCTTTCTTGCACACTTACCTCTTCTGTGAGAGTATAGGTTAGGATCCATGCAATTCTTATATTTGTAGTGCCTCCTGCATTAGATGCAAAATAAATGTTGGATTGGCTTTTTTTCTTTTTTCTCATCCTTTATCATTTTGTTTCTTTCCTGTAGATAATCTGCTGGGAATCTCTTGGGTTGACAGTTCCTGGATCCCCATTTTGAACAGTGGAAGTGTCCTGGATTACTTTTCAGAAAGAAGTAATCCTTTTTACGATAGAACATGTAATAATGAGGTGGTCAAAATGCAGAGACTAACATTAGAACACTTAAAGTAAGTTATTGTAAGAAGGCCACATCTTCGCCAATTAGAGATTTTGAAATGAATGATTCTCTCAAGCTATGGATAGTGAAGTACAGAGTAGAAGTTTTGGAAGAACTCGAGTTTTTTGGGGGTGGCGGGGAGTTGTACAAATTTGACATGCAAAGGAATTACCAGTAGTCACTTAAAACCTAGGAAGGCTTTTCCGTATAATTTCGTATATTACTATCCAGTTAAAATATAGCTGTGAGGCTTAGATGCAGATCCAATTAGTGATCTTAGCAATGCAATTGTTCTCCACTAAGTGACCATACTTAATTGTCTCTTTAACATTAAATTTAATACCTTAAACCGTAGTCTGGTTTATAGGAGATTTTTCTTCGTATGACAAAATTTTAGCTTGACAATTGCAAAGTAAGGTTCTTCAGACTTCGGATGCTAAATAATTAAGAACTTATTGCTATTACAAAAGTTTCTGAAACAGTTGTGTAATACGGTTTTTCATTTGTCAGCTAAACATCAGAGAGGGGTTCTTGAAATTAAATTTCTGAGGTATTTTAAATAGCTTTAGGAGGCAAATATTTACAACTATTAAGACAACTTATTGTTACTTTTAAACAATCTGTCAGGTCAAAATTTGTCAGGCAAGGATAAGGTTTTGGACATTTTCTTGTTGAGTAGAATATATAGTTAAAATACATGGTCAAGACGTGGATGGTCTTCATGTACTATATATTTCTAGATTTTACATATATTTATACATCTCAGGAAGTATTACAGTATTTTGGTTGTCTTTTTTGAAATGTACACTCTTCAGTGTACTTTCATGACAAAATACTCAGATTTAAGTTTATTGTGGATTTTTTTTTTTTTTTTAAAGATTTTATTTATTTATTCATGAGAGACAGAGAGAGAGAGAGGCAGAGGGAGAAGCAGGCTCCCAAGGAGCAGAGAGCCCGATGCGGGACTCGATCCCAGGGCCCTGGGATCATGACCTGAGCTGAAGGCAGATGCTTAACCATCTGAGCCACCCAGGCGCCCTATTGTGGATTTTTGTAGAGTTGTTTAAAAATCAAATCTTACTTTATATTCTACCTACCTGGGAAAATAGCCAGTTTTATTGGACAGCCAGTTTTTAATATCAAACATAAGCAGTTTTAATTTGATTTACAGAGTTGCTCTACTTTTATATAATAATCTGACTGTTCTACACAATTGTTTGTAGGGCATTCATAGATCTCTGGATGTCTGTGTTCTGTTTGCAGTCAAATGGTTGGAGTGGAATACATCCTTTTACATGCTCAAGAGCCCATTCTTTTTATCATTCGGAAGCAACAGCGGCAGTCCCCTACCCAAGGTAAAAATGTAGACTTCAGGCATAATTTTCTTCTTAAAATACTATGATTTGCTTAACTTTCTGAGCTCCATGTTCTTACTTTTTTGGATTGGGTTCTGTTTTTGGGATTCCCCAAGACCACATACATGTTCAGTGCTTTGCTAAGAGGACTCAGCAGACTCAGCATATGGGTATGTTAGTTATACCTAAGATTTGTTATGGCAGCACAGTAAGGATCCACAGACAGATCAGTAAGGGAAAAAGCCATGTCAAGTGGGATCTGTAAGAATCCATGTGTAAGCTTCCTTTGCTTTCCCTTCTACAAGGGGCTGCACCAAGTACATCCTTCCTCCAGCAGCGCCCCCCCACACTACATATGTAGTATGTCTGCTTAGGGAAGTCCTTTTGATACTCAGAGTCCAGAATTTTTTTCTGTGGACATCCTCTGCCTGCCAAAATTCCAAACTCTCAGAAGGAAATGAGGTTTCCACTATAACAGTATTATTTTTAGAAATGTCTAGGCACACTAGTTCAGCAGGGATAAATTTACCACTTAGGAAATATTTCAAAAGCCAAGTTCCACTGGTCACATGCTTAGACACCAGAAGTCTTCCAGCATGCTCAAGGACAACTCTCCAGGCACTAACAAAGTACCTCACTACATTGAAGCCACCTCCTCTGTGAGGATAGTTGTTGGGAACCTCAAGCATCCTAAGTAACAACTCCTCTCAGTCCACTGAGTCTAATTATTTTAAAAACATACATGGTAGATGCAGTTGCACCAAATTCATAGAGGATCAATTGAAAATCCTCATTGACACATTCACCCAAAATACTTATCTGGCTTATATTACCAAACATAAACTTGCTTTAGAAATCACACTGAAGAGTATAGAATTCAGATTTGACTTTGAATCAGAGAGCTAGTGACTATTCCAGAGATGACCAGCTACATCTTCTCATTAGATAACCTCATCAAGACATTTAGGAAAAACCTTCACCCTGATAATGATTTCAGACAATGACTTGCTAAAGAAGTTGTGGTTCCAGAGTTAAGAATCCACATTTAATTTCAAAATCTAATGATCTAGAGTCCCTGCCCAGTGGAAAAAAAGAACCTTAGAACAAAGGCAAGACCAGGAACAAGATTTCCATGATTAGAGGGTTCAAGGTATGGAAGTGACATAAGGTGGTACCAGCTTCACTAGCAGCTGTTTTATTCCTTAGGACCCAGGAATGGGACACACTGGCAAGTTCAGTGCATCTGGTATCTTCACCCTAGGCCCTAAATCTCTCGCTCTGAGGTCTTACTCCCCAAAGTGTAGGTGACTAATAGCAGCACTGGATCACTTGGGAACTTGTTAGAAATGCACTGTCCCTATTGAGTAAGAATCTGACTTTAACAAGATATTTAGGTGGTTCAGATGCACATTCCAATTTGAGAAGCATTGCTCCAGTTGGCAAGCTGTTTCTGTGATGGTTCAGAGAGTAAATATTTTAGGCTTTCTGGGCCTCAGGGTGTCTGTAACAGCTACTCAGATAGTGTCATAGCAGCCTTAGATAATAATGTAAATAAATGAGTATGGTTGTTTTCCAGTATAAATTTATTTACAAAAATAGGAATTGCCAAATCCTGTCTTAAGCTTTAATATGAGAAAATATCAAATTTTAGTTGTTCTTTTTATGAAAGTCTATTTAGCAGTTTGTGTGCATAGCTATATTCATGAGTGTTTTTATTTTCACTACTTTAGTTATCCCACTGGCTGATTACTATATCATTGCTGGAGTGATCTATCAAGCACCAGACTTGGGGTCAGTTATAAACTCTAGGGTGGTAAGTATTTCACATTCTTGAAACACTAAAGAAAACTTTTAATCGAGCTACCTTGTTTCCAAGAATCAAACAGAAGTTTCTCTCCCTTGTGTATGTTGGCACGAAGTGTTGACTACTAGAATGTATTAAACATGGCTTTCTATGGGCCAAGTTCATGTTAAAAGTATATATCACAGCCCCAGCTCTATAGTGATTGAAGTTCTGAAAAAAACAAAACAGAAAATTACTTTCTTTGCATATGTAATATTGTGGGTATTTACTTTGGAGATTTTAGTTGATCTAATGAGAAATTCAGAATTTGTTTTCTTTTTACAAGCTTACTGCAGTGCATGGCATTCAATCAGCTTTTGATGAAGCTCTGTCATACTGTAGATATCATCCATCCAAAGGGTATTGGTGGCACTTCAAAGATCATGAAGAGCAAGGTGGGTAGAACACTTTTTGGTATTCTGAGAATAAAGCTGTTTTCTATAAGAAAACAGCTATTGATTTCAAGGTGTGTTTTAGATAGAAAGACTTCATAGGATGATGACATTTTCATAGCTGCAATTCATGTAACTAGATGTGGTAATACAAGCTTTCCCATAGGAACAGATAGAAATTTTAATCTGTAGGTAACTGGTAATCTTTGGTAAGTTGATTCAAGGTTTTAAAATACTTGGAACATATAGAGGGTATCAGTGATGAGGAGTGGGTCATGATGATGTATCCTGCTTACCTAACTATTGAGTCATCTTGAAATCTGGAACCTGAATCTCCCATGTTCAGAGTAGGGGAGATGCTTTTATAGCCCTGTCTCCAGATGACCAGTCTGTTTTCTGATCTTTCCATGTTATTATGCGAGACCCCTTAGTTTCCATAGCTGCTAGTCTCCTAATGGTTCTGCACCATATTTTATGGTGCGAGACCCCTTAGTTTCCATAGCTGCTAGTCTCCTAATGGTTCTGCACCATATTTTACAATAAAAGTGCTCTGGAAATGTGTCTATGGCAATATACCTATATTCTGAATTTCCTTCTCTGGGAAATAGCAACTCAGAATAAATTACTGAGGGAAAGTAGCCTTTAAATAGAATTCAGACCTGTGGAATGAATGGTCTTTCAGATACAGTTATTTATTTATTTTTTAAAGATTTTATTTATTTATTTGACAGAGACATAGCGAGAGAGGGAACACAAGCAGGGTGAGTGGGAGAGGGAGAAGCAGGCTTCCCAGTGAGCAGGGAACCCCATGCGGGGCTCGATCCCAGGACCCTGGGATCATGACCTGAGCCAAAGGCAGATGCTTAACAACTGAGCCACTCAGGTGCCCCTAGTTATATTTATTCTTAATAGTGGGTGCAGGTCGGACGCCTGGGTGGCTCAGTTGGTTAAGCGACTGCCTTCGGCTCAGGTCATGATCCCAGAGTCTTGGGATCGAGTCCCACATCGGGCTCCTGGCTCAGCGGGGAGCCTGCTTCTCCCTCTGACCCTATCCCCTCTCATGCTGTTTCTCTCTCTCTGTCAAATAAATAAATAAACAAAATCTTTAAAAAAAAAAAAAATAGGTGCAGGCAGCAACATTTGACATAGGAAAGTTTGCATCTGTTGAATACAATTCTCTCAAGAGCTATTTGCCCCCCCCATCCTAATGAAATGTTTGGAATAAAACTTACCTGGAACTCTTCATTTATAGATAGTCCCCCAATACAACTCCCTCCTGGGGAAAGTTCCATACGTGATTAATTTCAGAATTTCTCTTGCAAGTTCTTTTCTTTCTTGTCTTTATGATCTGCTGTTGTTTCGTTTGTCTGTTTTTTTCAGTGAATCATAATCAAGTATGATAACTTGAGCTTGTGAACTTTGCATTTCCATTTGTACCTGTTAGGTTCGTGGGAAGACCATTTAATACACTTAAAATATACACAAGATAATTTCAAATCCATAATCTGGATTGTGATTTAGGTAATTATGGAAAATGTTAGCCTTAAAATTCTTAATGTCTATCTATGCTTACATACTAAAACTGAAATATCTTTAAAAGACTTAATCAGCTTTTTAAATGTTAAAATGTTAACTTCATTTAAGAGGGAAGTGTTAAGAACACTTGTTTCTATATGTTGTGTTTATTTGGGGGGATAATCTTTGGAATAGTAGCCATTAAAAATAATGATGTTTGAGTATATTCGTGGTGGACAAAGATTTGTAAAATGTAAGACACCAAACTAATTAGGCAGTGTTTTGATTTGGACTTCATATTTTAATAGATAAAGTCAAACCTAAAGTCAAAAGGAAAGAAGAACCAAGCTCTATTTTTCAGAGACAACGTGTGGATGCTTTACTCCTAGACCTTAGACAGAAATTTCCACCCAAATTTGTGCAGGTAATGAGAACACATGTGGTTAATTTGATTTGATGCTTTTTCCTGGATTATTTATTTTTAATTGAGAACTGTTTCAGTTGTGACCTAAAAATAGTGACTTTTCTCATTAGTTAAAAATGGTCTCCGGTGGAAAAAAAAGGGGCCTCTGAATCAAAGGAAAGGTTTTTAAAGACTTAATAGAGATAGTGGGTAAAGGGAATGGAATTAACACTGTTCTGTGCTCTTAAGTTTATTTTCTCTTTGAATCTTCACAAACTAAGGACTGCTTATACATAACATTCTCATTCCAAAGTTGCTGAAAGTGTCATAGATGGTAACTAAACTAGAATCTGAAACTCATGCTGTTTTTATTCTGTATGCTGCCTTTCATCCTGATGTAGTAGATATCGAAGTCCTTAAATGATAGACTAGTTAAAACTTTTGTAACAAGTGGCGCTTGGCTGGCTCAGTTGGTAGAGCACGTGACTCTTGATCTCGGTATAGTGAGTTCGAGCCCCACGTTGAGTGTAGAGATTATAAGTAAACTTAAGAAACAAAAAACTTGTAACAAAAAGAACAGTTGAAGTAGAGGGTTTGGCATAATAAATGGAGGAGTAATAAATAGAGTTAGATCATATTGATGCTTAAGTTATATAAATTCTCTTATGTTATTTAGCATAATAGCAATAACAAATCCACCTGCCATTCTACTAAATGAACTTTTGAAGTGAAGTAGGTATGAGATGGAATATGTGAATATGTTATTCTCCTGGTTAGTCTCAGTTCACAGAGACACCTGCAGGGCTTTGTACACACAATGTCATGTATACTGTTTTTCTTGATGGGGAGATAAAATTTTCAGGTTTGTTTTAGATTGAGATTTTTCACACTTTGAGATGACTTTAGAACAGGCCTCCCCTTCCCCTTTCCCTGACTTCACTGTGTGAGAGTTATGTGCTTTTGGAATGGTGATGTAGTGGTGAAGGGAGCGGAGGACAGAATGGAATGTAGGACAGGAAAGTCTATTTAGAGAACTCTCATGAATTCCATTTGAAGATAAAATAGTGTCTGTTGAATAAGTAAATTATAGTGTGTGTAGGGATATGGGGAACCATGATAGTGTAGGAGGTTAGCTGTGGTTGGCCATTCAGCGAGTACATAGTATGGATGAGGGAGGGTGGGGGAAGAACACCTAGACCTGCACAGTACAGTAGCCACTAGGCACATGTGACTGTTGAACATTTGAAACACAGCCCATGTAAACTGAGCTGTGATGTAAGCATAAAATGCATACTGGGTTCAAAGACTTGGGTGGGGTACGGAGTAAAAAGATGTAACTACCAGCTTGCATTTGTGGCTCACATACTTCTTTTGGACAGTTCTGATGTAGAAAATGGGAACAGAACACACAAAACCAGAAATATGAAAGACTATTAATGGACATGTTAATGTTCATATTAATTAATGGACATACTGATAATAATGGACAGATTTCTTGGAAACCAGAAATCTTTAGTGTATGTGCTGCTGAAGCGAGCACTGGAAACCAGAAATCTTTAGTTTGTTGTTCTTTTTCTAATTCCTTGAGCGGTAAGCTTAATTGCTTATTTGAGAACTTTCTTCCTTTTAAATGTAGGCATTTATTACTATAAACTTTACTCTTAGTACTGCTTTTGTTGCACCCCATAAATTTTGGTATGTTTTCATTTTTATTTCTTTTCAGATAATTTCTGATTTCCTTTTTGATTTCTTCTTTGAACCACTGGTTGTTCAGGAGTGTGTTGTTTAATTTTCACATATAAGTTAGCAAAAGGAAAGAAGTGAAAAAGATAAGAGCAAAAACAAATGAAGTAGAGACAGGAAAAACTCTAGAAAAAAATGAAACTAAGAGTTGGTGTTTTGTAAAGATAAAATTGACAAACTTTTAACTAGACTAACAGAGGAGACTCAAATCAAATTAGAAATGAAAGAGGAGACAGAAACAAAGGATCATTAAGAGACTATATATAATAAGGAATTTGAGAAACAAGACAGGATCATAGGGGGAGGGAGGGAAAAATGAAACAAGACGAAACCAGAGAGGGAGACAAACCGTTTATAAGAGACTCTTAATCTCAGGAAACAAACTGAGGGTTGCTGGAGTGGAGGGGCATGGGAGGGATGGGATGGCTGGGTGATGGACATTGGGGAGGGTATATGCTATGGTGAGCGCTGTGAATTGTGTAAGACTAATGAATCACAGACCTGTACCCCTGAAACAAATAATACATTATATGTTAATAAAAAATTTTTTTAAAAAATATGAGTTTAACTTAAAAAAAAAGAGGTACTATATATAAAGAATTATATGCCAACAAATTGGAAAACCTTAAAAAAATTGGAAAATGTATAAGAATTTCCTAGAAACATACAACCTACTAACTCTGAGGCATGAAGAAATAGAAAATCTGAACAGACCAAAAATGAGTAGAGAGATTAAATTAGTAATCAAAACCTCTCCACAAAGAGAAGTCTAGGACCAGAGGACTTCATAGGTGAATTCTATGAAATATTTAAAGAGAATTAATTAACACCAATCTTTCTCGAACTCTTTCAAAAATTGAAGAGGAAGGGAACATTTCCAAATTCATTGTATGAGGGCAGCATTAATCTGATACCAAAGATGACAAAGACACTACAAGAAAACTACGTTCAGTATCCATGATGAACACAGATGTAAGAATCCTCGACGAAGTACTGGCAGACCAAATTAAATGGCATGTTAAGAGAATCATACACCATGATCAAGTGGGATTTATCCCTGGAATGCAAGGATGGTACAATATACTGAAATCAATCTTGATGGTATACTGCATTATCAGAACAAAGGTTAAAAATCATACAATCATCTCAATAGATGCAGAATAAGCATGTGACAAAATTCAACACAGTTTTATGATAAAAACATTCAACAAACTCGGTAAAAAAAGAATGTGCCTCAACATAGTAAAGGCCATATGTGATAAACCCACAGCTAATATTCTCAGAGTTTTTCCTTTAAGATCAGAAACAAGACAAGGATACCCACTTTGCACAGTTCTATTCAACATAGTACTGGAAGTTCTACCAGAGAATTTAGGCAAGAAAAAGAAATAAAAGGCATTCAAATGGGAAAAGAAGTAAAATTATCTCTTTACATAATTCCTGACTTGATCTTACACATACTAAACCCTAAAGATTGCACCAAAAAGCTGTTAGAACTAATCAACAAATTCATTAAAGTTGCAGGATGCAAAATCACTCAAAAATCAGTTGCATTTCTATACACTAACGAACTATCTGAGAAGGAAATTAAGAAAACAATTCCATTAACAATAGCATTAAAGAATACTTAGTAATAAAACTTTTTGTTTGTTTTCAGCTTTATTGAGATATAACTGATGTATAGCATTATGTACCTTTAAGGTATACAGTGCATTGACTTGATACACTTATATATATTGCAAAATGACCACTGTAGCATTAGCTAACACCTCCATCGTGTCACATAATTACCATTTCTTTTTTGTGGCGAGATCATTTAAGATTCACTCTCTTAGCAACTTCTGAGTATATAATACAGTAGTAGTAACTATAACCACCATACTGTAATTGGATCCCCAGAACTTACTCATGTTATCAGTGAAAGTTTGTACCCTTTGACCAAAATCTTCCCGTTTCCCCTGCCAACCACTCAAGCCACTGATAACCATCACTTCACTCTCTTTATCAATTTGGTCTTTTTAGATTCCACATATAAGTGATACATAGACTATTTCAACTTCTCTTTCTGGCTTATTTCACTTCGCATAATGCCGTCAAGGTTCATCTTTTTTTCTGCAAATGGCAGTATTTCCTGCTTTTTGATGGCTGAATAATATTCAGTTTCATACCACATTTTCTTTATCCATTCATCTTTTGACAGATTGTAGGTTGTTTCTATATCTTAGCTATTGTGAGTAATGTTGCAGTAAACATGGGAATGCAGTTATCTCCAATATCCTGTTTTCATTTCCTTTGGATATATACTCATAAGTGGGCTTGCTGGATTATGTATTTCTATTTTTAATTTTTTGGGAACCCTCTGTATTGTTTTCCATACTGTCTGTACCAGTTTACATTCCTACTAACAATGTATCAGAGTTCCCTCTTCACATCCTCGCCAACACTTGTAATCTCTTGTCTTTTTGATGATAGTCATGCTGATAGTGTGAAGGGATATCTCATTCTGGTTTTGATTTGCATTTCCCTGATGATTAGAATGTTGAGCACCTTTTAATGTACTTGTTAGCCAATTGTATGTCTTCTTTGGAAAAGTACTCAGTTCCTCTGCCCATTTTTTTTTTAAAGATATTATTTATTTATTTGTCAGAGAGCACAAGCAGGGGGAGCGGCAGGCAGAGGGAGAAGCAGACTCCCCTGAGCAGGAAGCCTGATGTGGGACTCGATCCCAGGACCCTGGGATCATGACCTGAGCCGAAGGCAGATGCTTAACGGACTGAGCCACCCAGGTGTCCCTCCTCTGCCCATTTTTTAATTCGGTTGTTTGGGGTTTTTGTTTTATTTTGCTTTTGAGTTGTATGAATTCTTTATTTTGGATGTTAACCCTTATCAGATACAGGATTTGCAAATATTTTCTCCCATTCTGTAGGCTGCCTCTTCATTTTGTTGATGGTTTCCTTTGCTGTGCAGAAGCTTTTTAGTTTGATGTAGTTCCACTTGTTTATTTTTGGTTTTGATGTGTTTGCTTTTGGTGTCAAATCCAAAAAATTATCTCCGAGACTGATGTCAAGGAGCTTATGGCCTATGTTTTCTTCTAGAGTTTTATGGTTTCAGGTCTCATGTTCATGTTTTTAATCCATTTTGAGTTAATCTTTATGTATGGTGTAAGATAGTGGTCTAGTTTTATTCTTTTGCATGTGGCTGCCCTGTCTTCCCAACACCATTTATTGAAGCCTAGGTCAAAGAGGTTGCTGTGTTCTCCTCAAGGATTTTGATGGATTCCTGTCTCACATTTAAGTCTTCCATCCATTTTGAGTTTATTTTTGTGTATGGTGTAAGAAAGTGGTCCAGTTTCATTCTTCTGCATGTGGCTGTCCAGGTTTCCCAACATCATTTGTTTAAGAGACTGTCTTTTCCATTGGATATTCTTTCCTGCTTTGTCAAAGATTAGTTGACCATAGAGCTGAGGGTCCATTTCTGGGCTCTCTATTCAGTTCCATTATCTATGTGTCTGTTTTGTGTCAGCACTATACTGTCTTGATGATTACAGCTTTGTAATAGAGCTTGAAGTTTGGAATTGTGATGCCACCAGCTTTGGTTTTCTTTTTCAACATTCCTTTGGCTATGTTAATCTTTTCTGCACATTGGATAATAATGTGGAGCTCAGTTTTGGCCTTATTAAGTGTAACTTCCCAGAGCTTGCAGTTGGAATGGGCTAGTAGGCAGTTGTCAGCATGAATCTGGAACATGTGATATCAGGAAATTTTGTAGTCTTTAGTCATAGGAATAGATGAGAAAGCTTAGGGAGGGCATGTAAATTCAGAAAGAAATTCAGAAAATGTCTGGAAACATTAAACTTAAAAATGAAGAGAACATTTTTCTTTTGAGATGATGGGGAAGTCTATAAAGTTATGTGTGTGTGTGTATGTGTGTATGTGTGTGTTTATAGGAAAAGGAATAATAAGCTTGAAGGAGATAGCTGGGAGGGAACTTCGGATGTTGACATCCTTTTTTTAAAAATGTAGAATATAGAATTATTGGCTGCAAGTGAAGAGTGGGTTGTAAGCCTTGAGGAGGGGGAAACTGTTTTAAAGCATTTAAGGTGGGTAATAGGAAAAGGGAGATGACAGCATAATCAAATAAAAGAACTGCTATACAGAATGGAGGATCTGACCTTGTTCCTGACTCATGATGTCCCCATCATTTTTTTTTACTGTAGTTTGATTTAAAAAAAAAAAATTTTTTTTTTTTTTAAGATTTTATTTATTTGAGAGAGAGCACGAGCTGGTGGGTTGGGCAGAAGGAGAAGGAGAAGCAGACTCCCCGCTGAGCAGGTGGCATGACCTGAGCCATGGCAGATGCTTAACCAACCGAGCCACCCAGGCACCCCTGTAATTTGATTATTAATAGTACTGTCGTCAGAAGACTTATTTTCATAGAAAAATACCTTTTTCCTCTTTGCTTCCCATACCTGCCATCTTTGTAAGTTGGAGTGTTCATCTGTATTTTATTCTGCTTTCTTCAAGCTCATATCCCCTAAACAAATAAGCCTCTGGAGTCTTGAAAGACTCCATTATTCTCTCCCACTGGATTCTACTTAGCTACTTTTTGTGAAGCATTTTAGCCTAGGTGCAGAGGCAGAGGGCTATGTGGATAGATAGTCAAGGGGGGATTGTTTATGTTTGACTCTTTTGTTCTAGTTTTAGTTTTGTGTCTTTTCTGGAGCAAGGGGATAAGAAGTAGAAAATGATAAATTTACTTTTTATGGTACGTGAATAGTGGTTCCTCTTTATGGAGTCATTTTTAGTATAATTTGAATGAAGGTGTAATTTTAATAAGAATTATGAAGTCAAGAAGAAGAAAATTTTGCTAACCTGCCCTGTTTTCTCCTCCCCACCTGCCCCCCGCCCTTTTTTTAAAAATTCTAGCAAAAGTCTGGAGAAAAGCCTGTCCCAGGTATGGTTCCTGATATTCTTATTAAACTTGAAATAAAACCAGTCTGGTTAACTCAGTAACAGGTATAGCACATAAGATGAGCTGTGGTCCTTTTGTCCTAGACTCTCATGGTAGTTTGTTACTCCTAATTTTTGAGATCTGCTGAACTGCCAAAAGATGGTGCTTTTGTGGTAGTTGATATGAGTATTTAAAAGATTAATTGGAGTGGGAAGAGTTAAGTATTGAGGAGGGGTGGAGAAGCCGAGGTGATTTGAGCTTGTTTTTAGTTCAGATCTCAGTGTGAAAAAAGGTGTTCTGTTTCATCATTGAAAATAGGTATTGAACTATCTGTTCAGCCTGGGAGAGATCATGTATCTTGTTTATGCATATCGTCTTATTTAAATGACATGTGTTTTTGTCTATGATCACAAATTTGCCTGGGTTATCAGGTTTTTAGGTTTGTAAATAGGTTCTTATATATCTGCCTGATAAAACAGCTAAATTTAGAACTTGAGATAGGCAGTTTTAAATGAACTTGAGCCTAAACTATTCACATTACTGTTGTCTAAATTGATCTCATCCCTCTGCCTTCCTCTCCGTCCAAAAAAATACCTGCTTTTGACGTCTAGTGGATCAGACAAAGAAAGAGGCAGAACCTATACCAGAAACGGTAAAATCTGAGGAGAAGGAGACCACAAAGAACGTCCAACAGATAGTGAGCACCAAAGGCCCCCCTGAAAAACGAATGAGACTTCAGTGAGCAATGGATAGGAGAGAAGCTTGCAAGACTCCTCTTGCCCATTATTGATACCTCATTATTGTGACAGGCTCTTGAACTTTAAAATTCTTTGTCACAACCCTTCCATTTGTATGAATGTGCTTGTTCTTTAAAAAAAGGTTGTATGGATCCTCATGCTTTTGATATGAATATTTTTTATGTATGTTTTGTAACCTTTCCCATATTGGACTTGAGCAGCCTCCTTACTCAAATGTATACTGCTATATACATCTAAAAACAAAATAAAGGTATTTGTGTAAATCACTTTCTCGTGCCTTTTTTCCCCTATTTCTCTTGCTGAAATGTTTCCAGGTGCACCTTGTAAACATAAAGGATTAATGTGAAAGTAGTAACTAAGCTCATTTTCTTTTGTGTATTTCTCAGTATTAAAATAATAAAGTTATAATTTGAAAGATAAAGGGAAAAATCTCCTACAAATACTGTAACAGTGCTGTGAAGTTTTTTTGTGCAGTTATTTTTAAAACTGTAGCTTGTAATTATTCTCTTCATGCAGTTTTACTTTTATCATATTACTGTGTCTTTTTTAAGTACTTCTCCATGTTTACTTAGTTTTTATAGACTATTTTAGTGACTGAATAATTCCCATGAGTGATTCTGTTTTCTTTTAAACTCTCCTTGTATTCTACTTAAGGCTGTAGTGATTACATTTGTGTATAATGGTTTTTCTTTCGTGTTTTTTTCTTTAGGCTAGAGTCCCACCAGTAGAATCACTGGAATCTGTCTCTCTCTTTTTTTTAACTCTAAGTTCATATTGTCAAGTTGTTTTTCTCAAAAGGTTTGGATCCAGTTATTCAAACAGTAAATATGAAAGTACCAACTTCTCCAGAATCTGGATACCACTGTCATTTTTGGTTTTAGTGCCAGTTAAGTAGCAAAAAAAAAATGTTTTAAGGGGTTGAATAATTTCTCATCTTTGATTTTGCTTTTATGAAATGTCTGATTTTTTTGTATGGTAAGATTTTTAGCTTTTTATTTTGACATGATTTCAAGCTTATAGAAAATTTGCAGGAATAGTATAAAAAATTCCTACATGTATACCTTTTGCCCAAATTCCTCAGATATTAACATTTTTCCATACTTGTTCTTTAGTGTCTTACTTCTAACACTTACTGTCAATTGCTTTCTCTCTCTTTCTCTGTGTGTATATATATATAATACACATACTTATACCTTTAATTTCAGATTGAGAATGTGTTGCATATCCTAAAATCAAGGACATTCACTTACATAGCCAAAGTACAATTATCAAAATTAAGCTGGCACGATACTACTGTCTAATCTGTAGATCTTATTTAGATCTTGCCAGTGGTGCCAAGAGATTACAGCAAAATAATAAATTCACAGCAAAAGAATATCTTGAATTATGCATTGGATTTAGTTGCCCCGTGTGTTTAGTCTGCTTTGGTCTGGAACAATTCTTTGATCTTCCTTATTTTTCATGACTTGATATTTAAAGAATTTAGGCCAGTTATTTTGTTGACTGTCTTTCAATTTGGGTTTGTATGATATATTTTCATGATTAAATTCACTTCACGCACTTTTGTCAGGAATACCACGAAAAGGTGCTTATGGAGGCACATGCTGTCAGTTTGCCCCATTTCTGGTGATGTTAACTTTGATCACTTGGGTAAGTAGTGTTTGTTAGGTTACTCCACTGTAAAGTTACTGTTTTTCCTTTTGTAATTTATAAGTATCTTGTGGGGGAAATAGTGTAAGGCTCTGTAAATATCCTATTATTCCTCAACCTTTTACCCAGTGGTTAGCATCCATAGATCATTTTTCTCTGAATCATTTATTCCTATGATGGTTGCCCAGTGTCCATTTTCTAATTCCATCAGTTCTTCTATATTTATTGTTTTGTTGTTGTTGTTATAAAGAATAGCTTTCCTTTCTTCCCTGCTAATTTATATCATTGTGGACTTGTGGACTCCTGGATTCTTAATGTATTCAACAAATTATATTTCTTTACTATCATTATTTATGTTGATGCTCACATTGTCTCAGATTGGGCCAATGGGGGTCCCTTCAGGCTGATTCCTGGGTCCTTTTGAAATGACCCCGTCATTTAGTGAGCATTTTCTTTACGTGTTAGCACAATAACATATTTCAGACTTATCCAAACCTTGGAGTCAGCCATTTCTGTAAGGATCCCTGGTACCTTTTGGTGGAAAATGCATTTGGAAATCCAAGGTGTGTGTGCTATATATGTGCTCATTTGCTACTGGGGTGTCACTGCTTCTAGGCCTTCTCACTTGACAATTAAGAAATAGATACGTACATACGTGGGTGAATGAATATGCAGTACATCCACACACATCAGTATCTGTCTATTGTGTGTATAAAAAGCCATCAGTTCACACTGATACTGTCAATTGTATGTAGTCCATGACCACTGGGTTCTCTTCCATATTTGTAACACTCTTCCACATTGATGAGAATTCTGGTTTCTGTTCTCTGTAATGTTATTTATTTGCTTAATCGTAGAATAACAAAGTTTTAGAATTACTAACTTATACTACTGCAAAAAAGAAACCTGTTTGCTTAGGGTTCTTTTTGTCTTTAGCTCAAGGATTATATATATATAGTTCAGATACTATGTTTAAAAATTATTTGGATTAATGTTTTTTCCTCTTCATTGTGGTTATACTACTCACTTACTAAATGGTTCGTTACATTTGGTTCTGTTTTTAATTCCAGTTTAGTTTTCCACTTCATCTTACTGACTCTTTCTGCTCTGTTGTATTGTTTTGAGGTGCGTGAAATACTAACGTGGCTCTAAATGTCAGAGTTGTCCAAAAAAGATTCTCAGTACCACACCCCTTCCTCCTCACCCCCATTCATTTCTTCTGTCTTTTCCACCTCATTCCTACTCCCCCAAAATAACCAGTTACTTTCTAGTTTACCTTTACTAGATTTCTTTTCTACAAAGGAATAGATATTTTCTCATTTCTCCTCTTATACAAAGGGCAACATATTTTATAAAATTTTGCACTTTGCTTATTTTCCATTTATTTAAGCATGACCTTGAGACATAAAGATACTTTTTGTCATATTTGCTTCAAGTATTTTTCCAATTTTTTTCAGCAAAGCTCATTTTCTTTCAACTACATTATAAAATAAATATCACTTATAAAAAAGTAAACAAAATAATAAGAGTATAACTGATTATACCTATGTAAATCACCATGCAGGTAAAGAAGTTGAACATTGCCAATACCCCAGAATCTCCATTATGTCCTCTCCTAATCACAACACTTGCCCTTCTGATCATAGATCACCGTTATCCTAGTTTTATGGTTAATCACTTGTTTTCTTTAAATTTTTACTATGTAACCATGCACCTCTAAATAAGTGTATAGTTTTGATTGCCTGTTTATTTTTGATATAAATGGATTTAGTGTTTCATGTATGTCTTCTTTTGTTTAACATTATGTTTATGAGGTTCATCAAAGTTGTTTCATGTTGTGGTTTTTATATTTTCATTTCTGTGTAGCATTCCTTTACATAAATATATTACAGCTTTTAAAATGTGTTTTAGGGGCGCCAGGATGGCTCAGTCATTAAGCGTCTGCCTTCGGCTCGGGTTATGATCCTGGAGTCCCAGGATCGAGACCCACATCGGGCTCCCTGCTCAGTGGGAAGCCTGCTTCTCCCTCTCCAACTCCCCCTGCTTGTGTTCCCTCTCTTGCGGTCTCTTTCTCTCTGTCAAATAAATAAATAAAATCTTTTTAAAAAAAATGTGTTTTAATGGTGGTGGACATTTGGATTGTTATAGTTTTTGGCTATTATGAAAAACTGCTTTTATGAATATTCTTGTACTTTTGTGTATCATAGGCTGAATTCTATGTCCATCCCCCAGTACTTCGGAATGTGACCTTATTGGGGAATAGGGTCATTGCATATGTAATTAGTCAAGATGAGGTCATGCTAATCTTAATTAGGCTGGGCCCCTAATCCAGTATGACTGATGTCCTTATAAAAAAAAAAGGCCTTGTGAAGAGACAGCAGAACACCATGCGAAGATGAAAGACTGGAGTGATCCATCTATAAGCCTGGGAATTCCAGAGATTACCAGCAAATCACCAGAAGCTAGGAAAAATTCCCCTGTAGGTTTCAGGAGGAGCATGGCCCTGCTGACACCTTGATTTTGGACTTCTAACCTTCAGAACTTTGAGAGAATAAATTTCCTTTGCTTTAAACCACCAGTTTGTGGTACTTTGTTTTGGGAGCACTAGGAAACTAACAATGTACATGTGTGTTATTATTTTATTCAAATTGCTGGGTCACAAGTATGACTTTATACTACTTCCATTGACAGTGCTAAACTATTTTTCAGAGTTGCTGTATCAGTTTATATTCTCATCTGTTTATGAAAGTTCCTCTTGTTCACCATCTTTGTTGACCTTTGATACTGTCAAAGAAAAATTTGGTTATTATAATGGGTGTTCAGTGATACCTTATTGAGGCTGAAATTTATATTTCCTGGTATTGGTGACATTAAGCATCCTTTCATGATTATTGGCGATTTGAATATTTTTGTGAAGTGTGTCTTTTGCACATTTTTCTGGGTGTTCTTTTGTTTTTGTTTTTTTCCTTTGTCGTATAGAGTCGTAATTACAGTTCTTGGTATGTTTGGGATAAGAGGCTTTTATCTCTTATATGTACTGTCTTTTAATGTATCTTTTCTATTCTGGCTTGCCTTTTTACTCTATTGATGGTAACCTAAAAATGAATAGAAGTTCTTAATTTTAATGTAGCTCAGTTTATCAATCTTTTCCTTTTTGTGTCTTATTTGAGGTTTTTCTCTTCATTGAGTTTATGGAGATGTGCTCCTATGTCTATTTAGAAGCTCTATTATTATACGTTTCACATTCAGGAATGTCCATTTGGTGGGGATCGACTGATCAATTTGGGGAGAACTGACATTTTAGCAATATCACATCTTCAGAACCACAGACATGCCATATTTCTTCATTTATTTAGGTTTTCTTTAATTTCTCTCAGCAGAGTTTTGAGAATACAGGTCTTGTAAATGTTTTGTTAAATTTATTCCAAGGGATGCCTGGGTGGCTCAGTTGGTTAAGCATCTGCCTTCGGCTCAGGTCGTGATCCCAGGGTCCTGGGATTGAGTCCCGCATCGGGCTCCCTGGGGAAGCCTGCCGCTTCCCCTGCTTGTGCGCATGCTCTCTCTCTGACAAATAAAATCTTTAAAAAAAAAATTAAAAAAAATTTATTCCGAGACA